TTTATTATGTTGAGGTACTTGCCCTTTATACCCGTTTTCTTGAGAGTTTTTATCATGAATGGATGTTGAATTTTGTCAAATGCTTTTTCAGTGTCTATGGAGATGCTCATGTGGTTTTTGCCCTTCTATTTGTTAATGTGGTGAATGATGTTGATGGATTTTCGAATATTGTACCATCCTTGTGTCCCTGAGATGAATCCCATTTGGTCATGGTGTATGATCCTCCTGATAGATTTTTGAATTTGGTTTGCTAATATTTTGTTGAGTATTTTTGCATCTATGTTCATCAGAAGTATTGGTCTGTAATTTTCTTTTTTTGTGGGGTCTTTGTCTGGTTTTGGTATTAGAGTGATGCTGGCTTCATAGAATGAGTTTGGAAGTATTCCCATCTTTTCTATTTTTTGGAAAACTTTGAGGAGAATGGGTATTATGTCTTCTCTGTAAGTCTGATATAATGACATAATTCCACGGTAAATCCATCTGGCCCAGGGGTTTTGCTCTTGGGTAGGGTTTTGATTACCGCTTCAATGTCGTTGCTGGTAATTGGTCTGTTTAGATTTTCTGTTTCTTCCTTGTTCAGTCTTGGAAGATTGTATTTTTCTAGGAAGTTTTCCGTTTCTTCTAGGGAAAACACTGTATTTTTAAAAATCTTGACCTTAAGATACTACTGGTGCTCTGGCTATATTTTTTTATCACATAGAGAAATGCTATTAATTTTTGGTGAAAATTTATTATTTCTAGAAACTTATGAATTTCTTAGACCTGACAGACAAGTTTTCAGTGAAGTACAGTTTGATTCTTAACATTTAACTAATGTCTTTTGCACTCAGTTTATCCTTACGCCTTGTCCATAGTAAATGCTTAATACGTGTTTGTTTGTTTTACATATATACTTATAATCACATATATAATTACTTAACATTCTGTTTTGTATTATATCCCCCCATACATACACAATTAATTAGAATGTTCTCAATTGATAATCATGTGGGATAAATTTTCTTATTGTTTTTTCTGTTTTTTAGGTTGGTATTTTGTATGGCATCTTTTTTTATCAAAGTTCAAGTTTCTGCGGGAACTAGTGGGAGACACAGGATCTCAGGAGGGAGATCCTGAGCCTTCAGGGTCTGAAACAGAAGAAGATGCTCCATGGCCTCCGCACAGGATCAGACCTGCTCGGCAGAGGAGGGCGCCTGCTGATGAAGGCCGCTGACCCCAACCAGGGTCCTGTCTCAGTGAAGGATGAAGGGCAGTGGGAGCCTCTGTCTGCAGGGACTTGGCTTTGCAGTTCGCTGAAAGATAGAACATTATACTTAGATTTTAAGTCTAATTTACAAAAAAGGTTTACATGTAAGCCATATGAAAATAAAGGGAATTAAAACCAAATTGGACCACTGCAAATTTCATCTTAAAGATAATCTTTTGCTTCACTAGCTTTCTACTCAGATACTTATTCTTTGGCTCTTGGATTTATTTTCTTGCACTGATGTGAATCTGGTAAACATTACAGGCTTGAAAAAACCATATTTTATTCTATAATGTGCATTTTACTTTGTTTGAAATTGGGATGTATGTCATGATTGCTGTCAACCAGGGCAGAGTCCTAATGTAATTATCCTAGCCTAGTAAGTGTGAAATTACAGCTTGTCATTGCTTCATCACCATGTTGTTGGTATCAAATGTGTCAGGTTTAATTGACATTTAAAATGTCTTCAAAAAGATTGCACTATGATTCAGCATTGAAACGAGAAGTTATTGTGTAATGCAGAGAAGCATGGAAACAGAACAGCAGGTGTACATTGATAATAGTGAAGCAAATACCCATCGCTGGAGGGACGACTGCAATTCTGTATTTTCTTGTAAAGTAACCCAAAGTGCTTTACAGGACCAAGAAAGGAAGATACCAGAAGTAGCGAAGCTGTACTACGTTTCGTCTGTGAGACATGCACAAAAGGATTGCCTATCACACACCAACTATGCAGTAGAAGGCAGGAGAAATGGCCAAAAACCTTGGAGTAGATGCAACAAAATTCAAAGCAGTGAGAGCTTGGTGTGATAGATTCGTGCATCGGGCAGGACTATCACTAAGGCCAAAGGTTCCTGCCAACATTCAACAGAAGACAGTGATGAAGCACCCTTTCAAAAAATGCTGCCTCGCCAGTGCTCTTGATGACACCAGGGTGGCTGTTGTGAAGACATCTATGACTGTGATTTGAGAACTGATTCAGAAGAGTTGAACTCAGAATATGAAGTTATAGTTATAACTTAACCAGTACACTTTCTTTACATTTGCACAAGCTTGATGTGCTTCACTAGCTTTCTACTCAGATACTTATTCTTTGGCTCTTGGATTTATTTTCTTGCACTGATGTGAATCTGGTAAACATTACAGGCTTGAAAAAACCATATTTTATTCTATAATGTGCATTTTACTTTGTTTGAAATTGGGATGTATGTCATGATTGCTGTCAACCAGGGCAGAGTCCTAATGTAATTATCCTAGCCTAGTAAGTGTGAAATTACAGCTTGTCATTGCTTCATCACCATGTTGTTGGTATCAAATGTGTCAGGTTTAATTGACATTTAAAATGTCTTCAAAAAGATTGCACTATGATTCAGCATTGAAACGAGAAGTTATTGTGTAATGCAGAGAAGCATGGAAACAGAACAGCAGGTGTACATTGATAATAGTGAAGCAAATACCCATCGCTGGAGGGACGACTGCAATTCTGTATTTTCTTGTAAAGTAACCCAAAGTGCTTTACAGGACCAAGAAAGGAAGATACCAGAAGTAGCGAAGCTGTACTACGTTTCGTCTGTGAGACATGCACAAAAGGATTGCCTATCACACACCAACTATGCAGTAGAAGGCAGGAGAAATGGCCAAAAACCTTGGAGTAGATGCAACAAAATTCAAAGCAGTGAGAGCTTGGTGTGATAGATTCGTGCATCGGGCAGGACTATCACTAAGGCCAAAGGTTCCTGCCAACATTCAACAGAAGACAGTGATGAAGCACCCTTTCAAAAAATGCTGCCTCGCCAGTGCTCTTGATGACACCAGGGTGGCTGTTGTGAAGACATCTATGACTGTGATTTGAGAACTGATTCAGAAGAGTTGAACTCAGAATATGAAGTTATAGTTATAACTTAACCAGTACACTTTCTTTACATTTGCACAAGCTTGATGTGATAAAAATCTAACTCTAAAAGCTCTGTTTCCATAAATATAAAATAAACATTCGACATGATATGAAGGCATTGTGTCATAGATTAACTGCCTGTTTTTTTTCTTAGTGATATATATGGTGCATCCTACAACTGATGATACCTTAGATTTAAAAAGTTTGAAAATTTATTTTTCTTCCTAAAAGAGCAATTATTTATTGGAGAACTTAATTCTTACTCTTATAATGTAGTTAAAATAGTTATCCTCTATGAGATACATTTTTGGGGGCAACCTATTCAAGATTTTAGAGTAGTAACTTAGGAATCTAAGAGCTATCTTCTACTTTAGGAAGAACAGGATAAGTTACTCCCTTTGTTTGGGGAGGGCTTCAAGGTCAAGGTGTGTGTGTGAAGAAAACACTTCCTCACAAACCATTCCATCACAAAACCTCAGAATTTCTAGGAATTGAGGGAAAAATATAGTAGCTGAGAAATGCCTGCTTCACTGTAAAATAACTCTGGCCGGCTTCCTGTGTTTGTCTTCCTTGAACTTTGGACTGTGTGTTTACTGGGGAAGGGAGATGGATTAAAGAACCTTCCTGTTTAGTGTTAATATGCTTTTTACAAGAGTGAATTGCAAAGCCAATTTATTTTATTAATCCAAGTTTATGCTTTTAAATTTTTTCTCAAGTCACAGAATATCACCTGTTTTAGGATGGTGTGTAATTATGTTTGGTACTCAAACTTCATGCTGGTAGCTATGTTTATCGATAGTTCGCTTGCTGTGCTCCAAGCTGCATACCTGATGAAGGCTTCTGCTGTTTTTGTAGCCCTTTGGATAAACTAGAAGGGAATTTAAAGAGCACGACTTTAGTTTTAATATTAGCTAGGGGAGGATCCCGCAGCAGCTGACACTAGGGCCTAATCTTTGTCTTTATTTCCTTATTGGATGCAATTTTCTGTTTTCATGTGACTGTAGGGATTACCAAACCAGTGACACAGTTTCAAGCATTCACTTTTGTGCTTCATACTAACTAAACATTACACTAAGGTGGTCATCAGTTAGGAAAAACATTAATTCCTAACAAGCTTCTTGGTACTGGGAGGATATTTAAATAAGATCTCTCATAGTCTAATATTTTGAGTTATAAATTCTGCTTTATAGTGAATATCTTGCATTTCAGTAATAATAGCTGCTGAGAGCCTTAAGTAGCCAGAGAGCTTCCGTTTGTGAAGTATTAATGATGGCTGATGTAACCCCACACAATCTGCAGGGTCATCCACAGAGGACTACAGATTAATCCACCTAAAGGTGTACATGTTGGCATTATTTATTAATGTTTATGCTTCATAGAAGTCTCAAATAGAATTTTAAGAAATGTTCTGCTTAACTTGGGCAGTATAGCCAAAAGCATATTTAATAGCTCATACTCTACTGGGTTTTAACTCTTTAAGAGAGTAAAGAAGTCACGGATGCCAATATGAAAAGTATGTAAACTAATTCCTTTGTGTAAAACCTTTTTGCCCTGCAGTCCTCTTCCCACAGTACACTTACCGCAGTACCTATTTCTGAGGCCACGTCAAAAGGCAAGAGAAATAGTTGTTAGCACTGAATTTAATTATTTGTGTGGTATAGTGTTTTTGTTCTTTTTTTTGTCTTAGTGCTTTTACAGCTGAACTTACCAGGATTTATCCTAAGTGCATGTTCAGTTTCAATAGGAGATGGACTAGCCTCTGCTTAATTTTAAAGTTTAGAAGGTTCTTGTTCCCATCCAACCATTCCAAAATCTTGTTTGCCTCTGAAACGTTTGTGGAAGTTGCCTGTATCAAATGTATTTGTAGCATTGCTCTGATTTAAATGCCAAAAACACTAAATATTTGTGAGGCACTGCTAAGTGAGGTTTTAATATATACATTGAGCTAAAAATAAAATTGATCCAGTGAATTTTGTAGTATTGCTTTCATGGTGAAACAAACACTTTTTTTGTGGATAGCCAGTTCACACATGTGCTGATCCATACCTTCAGATGTTACTAGTTTTAAAACAACTTCAAACTGTTATTTTGCTGACAGCTGGGAATATATTAAGTAATAGTTTCATAAAATATGGCATTTTAAGCCAAAACATGTTGAAAGATTTGAAAGTAGTGCTTTTTTATTTTTAAGAGTAACAATTTTTGAAATCGGTTTAAGTAAGTGATGCAGTATTTTTTAAAGTAATTTTTTGTTAAAAGGTATGTTTTACTGTAACTTGTAACCAAGTAACTTGAGATTTTGACTGGTAAACTTCAAGTGTTTTTATATGTGAAATTGGCTTTAAAAAGCTAGTGAGCTATACTCAAAAGGTTATATATAGACTCCCAAGCAACTAAATGGAACAATATTTTGTTTTGGAGTCTAGAATTAAAGTACCTTGTATTGTCTGCTTTTAAAGTATCCTGTAACTTTTAGCTTAATGCATAAAGAGTAACATCTTATCTTAATAAAAGTCACACTTTCTATTTGTTAATGTACGTGCATTGCCTGTTTTATAACCAGTGTTGAACATTGCCCTCCAAGTCAGTTCTCTAACCATTCACCAAATACTGTTTCTTAAAGGAAAGGTTCTGTGCTGGGCCATGATGCATTGTCATCTGGCCACTTGACAAAAGGTTTATAAGGAATTAGAATTGTGTGCATTAATAGTACCTTTATATAATGAGATGTCAAAGTAGACATGAGGCATGTGTGTGAATGATCACTGTTTCTGTTTTAAAACTGGTCAGTACTATATCTAAAGCTTTTGTGGTTTGTATGGTGTTTTGACTTTCACTTTAAACTGCACACAATAAATTAAAATGAAAACAAAAGTCGTGTATGTTTCATTGATAAAGTGTGAGTTTGAAGCGTACCTTGGACATGAAAGTATTTGAAAGCAGCCATTTTTACCAATGGTCCACCCTTCACCTCATTTTAAGAATTAGGAGAAGACAGAGAGGAGAGTAGTATTCACAGTGCCATGGATGGAAATGACTTAGAACCTGAAGGACATATAGTGTTAGAGCTAACTTACATTTACCATATTCATCCTTTGGTTTTCTTTTCATACTTTATCCAGCATCCTCCAGAATGTTTTGATACTCTTACCATAGATAATATCTCACATTTTTGTTGGTATCAGCCACCAGGGGACTGAGTGAGGAAGCAGACCAAAGCCAAGGAAAAGATTGATAAATGCCTTTGAAAACCAGTTTGATACAGGGAATCATTAATTGCAGTGTCTGGGGACCAATTTTTAAAATTTTTCTACAGCAGTGCTCAGCTGCCAGAATGTAGAGAGAGAAAAAGTGGATTGTGCCAGGGTCAGGCTTGATACTGGAGGAGTATCTCAGGGGCAAGGTCATTAGAGATTGCTGGAGGTGGGCCTTGAGATTCGTGCTGGGTTGTAAGAGAAGTTGGATCATTAAGACTGATAAATTGGATGAATGGGAAGGGGTAGAAATTTAAGACAAAATGAGTGTGACGTTTGTGTGTAATGGGTAGAAGGAAGTTTGGGACAGAGACTAGGATGTTAGACGTGGAGCAGTTCTGAGCAGTGACATGAAATACAGCCATAGAAAAGGGGAATCAGAACTGCACCACAGTGGTGTGTGAACTGTCACATGGCCACTGATATAGCTGGAATTGGGGTGAAGGAGATTGCCATGAGCTGGTGACCAGTTCAGGAACTTGCAAGACTGACCTGAAGGTGTGGGGCGTCAGGTGGCCCCTGAAAGGAGGGAGTTTCCTGAAACTGGAAGAGGCTTACTCTTGGGGACCCGTGAGAATGTTTCTCTTCACCCTGGCCCGTCTGACAGCTCTGCAGGTCAGTATGTGATTGTTATGGTCAAGCAAGTACTTCGGTTATAGAAATGATGCTGTTTATGGAGAACTGGTTGGGGGGGAGGCGGGGGGAGGAAGGCAGGAAGGAGCAGAAGCTCTGAGAATCATAAAAGGAAGAGTAGGAGATTTCCAGGTCGAGGGTGAGACAAGGATTCCAGACAGAACAAAGAGCTGTGCAAAAATCTTATGAGTTCAAAAAATTTTTAATTTGTTAATATATAATAGGCAACCAGTAACTTAAGTTCCCTCTCTTCTTCCCATACATCTTACGCTGTAGCCGT